TTAAAAAAAAATAATTAAAAGACAATCTTTAATAATAATCATAATAATAATTAGCGAGAATAAAAAATAAACATGGCACAAAGCCAATCCACAACACATATGGAACTAGATATTGAAAACCAATCGACGCTAGTGACAGACGCAAATATAAACATAAAAGTTACAAATTCCGTCGATAATTCGGAAACCTCATCAAAAGATACCCTATTACACGGAGTTAAATTATTTTTAATTACTTTTGAGTTTGTAGTTATTAAGTTCCCATGGTTATTTTATACTGCATAATCAAATCGCTAATGTAGATTTACATACTGTATGATAGTCTGGGTTGTGCCGTATTTTTAGCTGCGTTAGATCAAACAATTGTCTCTACCGCTTTGCCTAAAATAGTTTCTGACTTTAATGGATTGAATCAAATTCCATGGGTCGCAGCATCATATTTACTCACAATGGTAATATTTAATTAACTTTAATTAATCCCTATTATAAATCATGTGATTCTCACATTAATAAATCATATTATCAACACAGACTTCCTTTCAACCAATTTACGGAAAATTATCCGATATTTTTGGTCATAAAGTAATATTCTTGGTCGCAATTTCCATTTTTGAATTAGGCAGTTTGTTATGTGGTCTTGCTACCGATATGGTAATATTATTTTTCTTTTCAACTTTTAATCAAGCATCAATGAATCCTAAATAAATAAATTTGATAATTTTCCTTACTTTAATTATTTAGATTTCAATAATAATATACCGCGCAATAACTGGTATCGGAGGTGGTGGTATCATGGGGTACGTATTTTGCTGCAGCATTCTATTATACATATTCGGTGTAGGCTAAATATTATATATATATAGGCTTGTTTTGATTATTATATCACATATCGTTAGTGCTAAAGACCAAGGAAAATATCAAGGCATTATTGGTGCATGTTTTGGTATTGCTTCTGTAGCTGGACCTCTCTTGGGTGGTGCGTTTACTGATCATGTAAATTGGAGGTATGTAAAATTATTTTATTGTTATGTTTTATATAAATCATGAAAACAGTTTTTTCAAAATTAAATTTTACTTTCTCAAAATAGATGGTGTTTCTTAATAAATCTTCCACTAGGAGCAATAACAATACTCGTTGTAATTTTCTTGCTTCGTATGCAGAAACCAACTGGATCATTACTTGAAAAACTTAAGAGAGTTGATTTTCTTGGTATCATTATAATAATCTTATCAACTGTTTGTATATTATTACCTCTTAATTGGGGTGGTAGCACTTATGCTTGGGATAGCCTTGTGATAATAGTGCTTCTATGCGTCGGCATAGTTGGTTTCATAATATTTGGTATTGTTGAAACTTACGTCGCTAAAGAACCTGTTGTTCCACGTAAGTATTACATAACAAGAATACCGCTTGGATTACTGTATTTGTAAAATGACTGTATTTATACTAATAATCTATTATATTTTTTTTGAATTTTTTGATAATGTAGCATATTTATTCAAAAATCTTAATATAGTTTCAGTTTTCCTATCTGCCTTATTCCAGGGAATGACATTCTTTAGCATAATATTTTATGCCCCTTTTTACTTCCAAGTAGTAAAAAATGATTCTGGTAAGTCTAATTAATCATTGAATAAATTTCTTATTTCCTAATTAAATATTCAATTTATTAACATTTTTTTTTTAAACAGCCACACAATCTGGAATAGATTTTATGCCTTACATTCTTGGTGCAGTAGTGTCCTCAATATTAATTGGCCAATTATTCTCTCGAACTGAGAAAATATCATTTAGATTTGTGACATCAGTTGCTTCAGCATTGACTGTAATCGGTTGCGGATTAACCTCAATGTGGAATGTAAACAGTGGATACGGTGAATATATAGGGTACTTGATAATTAGTGGTGCTGGTATTGGTATAACTTTTCAATCTCTTCAATTGTGCGGTCAAGGATTAGTTGAAAACAAATATATAGCTTCTTTTACTACTTTAACATTATTCTTTAGAATCAGTAAGTACTTAATATAAGCTTTCATTTTTGACAAAATTAATTACTAATTTTTTTATTATAATTTTCTCTTTAGTCGGTGCTGTTTTCGGAGTTACAATATCAGGAGTAGTATTTAATAATAGGATTGCTCAATTATTGAGTACATTAACTTTACCTCCTTATTTTTCAACACAATCTGTATATACTATATATGAATTACCACTTGATACACGAACTTTAGTTATTAATGCTTATGTGTCAGCATTTAAACTCACCTTTGAGATTACAGCACTTTTCGGTGGACTAATGTTAATTTCATCTTTGTTTATGGGAAATAGTAAACCTAAACATGAGTAAAGGCTTTTTTCATTTGAATAATTGTTAAGTAGGTTCCGGTGAACCCTATATTTGGTACGAGAAATGCATATCGATGGTTAATAGGTGGAATTATAATAGTAGTGCGGACCAGCATTAAGGTATAATGATGTGCAATAATTAACAATTAATCAATGACAGATCAAATTAATGAATATCATGTGGAAGTATAACATAGTTTAAGATAGTAATAACGAAGTTAAATTTATTATGATGCATAATTTGATGTAACATTAGTCTTCATATAAAAGTAATATTTTAATAAAGAATTAAACAGAATTTTTGTATTGAAAAAATATTATATTGAAATAAAAGTATGATATTTTTTTGAATAAATTGATAATGTCTTAAGATCTAGTTAGATATCTATAACTATGGTTATAGACTAACCTCTTGACAATAATTCTTTAAATAAAAATATTACGAATAAATCTAAACAGTATACCTTATAGTAAAATTAAGTATATAATAGAAATTAGTTTAGTCTAAGTTAGAATTAGAGTTAAAGTTAAAATTAGTATATAGTAAAATAGTGAGAAGAATATTTTTTTTTAGTTGCACAATAGCAACTATAAAATATTTAATAAAATTGTATAATATGTTGTTAAAGAAATAATAATATTCTATATTTAATATTTTAGAGTTAGAATAATAATTTTGTTAATAATATTTTTTTGTATTTAAAATATTAGCAAGAGAAGAAGCCTATTTTGATATTAAATTAATTTAAGCTTTTTAGCTATTATTTAAATTTTTACTTAAAACTTATCTTCTCTGTTTAAACAATATCTATTACAATTTTTTTTTTTTATATTTATAGATTATACAATCTGATACTGTAAATCAAGAGAAAACCTTCAAAAAATATTATTATCTCAAAACTTTATTATTTAAATAATATTTAAATAAATTTTCTTAAATTAGTCTTCT